ACAATAATAATAATAATAATAATAATAATAATAATAATAATAATAATAATAATAATAATAATAATAAGCAATTCATGCTTATAATGAATTATTTAGTTTTGTATTAAATAAATGTGAGAGGAGGAATATTCTCTCGAAATAAAAAGAAATAAACAAATATACGGAGACGAATAGAGAGAAAGATAGAGAGAGAGATAGAGAGAGATAGAAAAAAAAAAACCCAGTTATTGATCTTTCGTCGAAGAAGCAGTAGTATACGTGAATACGGCGTGCTGTTTTTCTTCTTGCGTTTGATCCTTGTCACCCCAACCCCAAACATCGTGTGTACCATCTCCGCTTTTGAGTACCCGCGATTTAACCATATCATGTGAGACACTTTTTAGGTCATAGGCCCAGCCTATTTTCGCAAAGAAATCAATAAACGCGGTAGTCAGGTTCAGCCTGTAATTACCCAACTCGCTTGTTTTGTAATCCCATGGGAATACGTGATGATAATTGTGCCAACCTTCGCCCATTGCCATTAATGCTACTCCTTTGTTTTCTGACGGATTGATGTATCTAAAAAAGAAAATAAAAAGAATAATAATTTTTTGACAATTACTTAAATCACATTAGTTAAAATCAATTATCATTAATGTTACATCTATGGTAAAGGTTTTTTAAAGCAAGGAGAGATAAACTAAATTTTGCGTGATAGATTAATGATGAAACCTCTTTGCTATTTGTTGACAATTGATATTTTCATCTAATATAATAGTATTTAATACATTCCTATATTGATCACGTCTCAATCACGTGTATATTTGTTTAGCTCTCCTAAATTCGATACGTTTAATAAAGTTAAGAATTGTAACTAACTTGTCGTAAGGTTTATTTCCGAAAAGATGAGCAGCAGAGTTAACCAGCCACGTCATGTTTAAAGTAAAGACGTAACGAAATACAACAGGAATGAAATAAGAATTGAGGAAAGATTCGTTCCACAAGTACATCGGTATTAAACTTGGCAGGATAAAACACAACGTAGGCATCAATATGAAGTAATATCTGAAACATTAAAATTTATTTTTATAATAACCGTATTCGCGTTTATTAAATGTATATTATCGTATATTTCTATAGAAAAGTATGTTAAAAAATAATATAATATTGGTGTATATATATATACGTACTTCTTTTGAAATGCAACGATGGGATCGCTTTTAAGATCGCTCAAATCAATTCCTTGACCTTTTTTCTTAACGTCCGGATGTTTCCTGAGGAGTAACCAACCGATATGAGAAAAGAAGAAACCTCTTTTCGCGTTATGTGGATCTGCATCAGTTTCACTGAATTTATGGTGAACTCTGTGGTCTCTTGCCCAATCGATAGCCGCATCCTAATAGAAACAAACAAAAACAAAGATTAATTTTTTTAAAATCATTTTTATCGATCGTTTTGATACGTTAAATACGATTGAAAGATATCATTTTATTTGTTGTTGTTTTAAATATATTTCTCTATATGATATCGTCGTAGACAGGTGATAGCAGACGAAAGATATGAAATACGTGTTTAAATAAATCTCATGTTATTACATGTATTAATTAATTATTTATTTATTTGCGATAATAGGATATCTTAGGGGGATTATTTCGCGATGATAAGTATATATAATTTGTAACAAATATTAATCTGTTTGTGTGTGTTTTTTTAAATAATAATTTATCAAAGAATATTAAAAAAAAAAAAAAAAAAAAAAAAAAAAAAAAAAAAAAAAAAAAAAAAAAAAAAAAATATTTCTCTGTAACTTACTTGGAAGGCTATAGTGTTGAATATTATAAGAATTAATCGGAGTTGCCACGTTGCTTTATATGATCTGTGTGCCCATAATCTGTGAGCTCCTGCTGTAATACCAATTCCAGAACATACGTAGAGTAGAATTGCTGAAAAAACAAATATATGTTCGTAAATGCATATATATATATATATATGTATATATACTACTATTGTGAAATTTTATAACATGTTGAATTATTTTTGCTTAATCGTAAAAAACATTCTTATAAAAGAGAGAGAGAGAGAGACAAGTGATTATTTTTTAAAATTATAATATATTCATTTTGATTACGTACACTATATCGGGATTTTTAATCGATTAAAAAAAAAAAAACCTTAGCTAACAAAAAATGAGAATAATTATTAATAAATAATTAAATATATTAATCACAATTCAACGCGGTCGTTAGAATCATCATATGCACATCAAATGGGATAAATAATTATTATTAATAAATAAAAATAAATCGGGGGTAAAAATAATAACTGTGATATAAAAATAATATACGAGAATTTTTAACGTATATATTATAATGGATAATAAAATTTTTGTAAAAAAAAGTAATTATTGTTAATTATTAAAATTTGCGTATACTTACCAAAAAGCGTGGTCAACAATTTGGCGGATGTGAATATGAGATAGAAACCATAAAGAGCACCAATGTGAAGACCGGCAAATATTGTGACATTTCTCCAAACTATACGTCTCTTATATTTTTCTTTTTCCTTGGGCAAATCAACCACTGGCTGATCGTCCAATTTTTCTCCTTCGAATAAAACCCCAGTTGTTGGGCTGCTCGTAATATTAGGCGCCATAATTCGATTATTTATTCCTAATTTTATGAAACAAACAAATGATTTATATATTTCAATAAATTATATTTTGTGTATAAGATTGTCGAGAAAATAAAAACAAAAACAAATTCAAGTTAATTTAATATAAAGAGAATTATTAATTAATTAATTAATTATATACAATAATTATAAGTTTAGAAAAAATTTGTTATTCATTCATCGAGTGTGTGTGTGTATTCGACAATCATTAAAAAAATAAAATCTCATGCGAATTTTATTTTCGTATACGATTTATTATCCCTGTTCAAATTTTATTATATGTATTATTAATACATAACTGCGACGCGATGTTTTACAAAAAAATTAATTATATATTTTAGTTAAAAAAATTGTTACGCATGCAAATGCATATATGCATATATACAATATTTCAAAGAATATTTTTACCAATTAGTCAATATTTCCAATTTTTTTTCTAAATTTAAGTAAAAGTTAAAATAATTTAAGATAATTATTGTAAAGATTACACAAAATTCTTAAATATAATAATTAGTTACAAAGTATTCAAGAAAAGTATATCTTAAATACATATTATGTTAATATGCAAGAAGAAGCATTTACGCGTATCACGTGTCTCTACACTTTTCGTTCAAAAACGTGTCATTAAGTTATTCTTTTACACGTTTGCCTGTTGCATTCGTAGGAAAAAATGAAATAAAAATGACACGAAAAAAGAAAAAGTGAGAAAGATAGAAAGCTTCAAATTTTATTAATTCCCCCTTTCCACACCCCCTCCCAAAAAAAATCAAAAAGAAGCTTACCACAAACAATACAATATTTTGAAAAATTTGAATGGTTGGAGAGGAGGGGGTGGGGACCTGAAAGGGGTAATTTCTTCAATGATATTTTTATTGAAAGTTGTGCTAATATTTTTTTGAACAATTATTCACGACAGGTTCCTATCACTTTCGATTCGTCATTACTTTTTTTTTGTTTTATCGAAAATTGATGGAAATTAAGTATACACCACGAAATTCAATTAATATAATCGTAAATTATAATTAATTTTAAAAGGATTTAATTAGACATGAAATAAATCGTTTGAAAATATTAATGGGATGGTGAAGGGGGGAGAAGGGGGAGTAAGGGAAGAAAAGTATGGATAGAAAATTGAAGAATGTTACGACGTTGATCGTAATTGTTGATAATTGACACACATCGGAGACAACAAATTTGATTAACATCAAAGAAAAAAAACACACACACATAGACACACACACACACACACAC